TGTACAAAATACATCTGGGAAAATTAAACTACGTGGAACAGCAAAACCTTGACTTTTCAACAAATTTACAGAACTCATAAATGACTTTATGTGTTTACTAGTGAACTGGGACTTATGGCAGGAGGGGGATATATTGCCTTTTATGAAGGGAAAAAAACTGTCATTTTCACTAGTCTCAAATGGAAGAGTTCTTATTTTTTTAGCTGCCTGGTTAGTAGTGGGGTGAACAGGTTGGGAAATTTAACCTGATGTCTTACAAAGCCTGCTAGTCCCATTTGTACCTGGTCTGAAATTGGAGAAGACATAGGGATACCAGAACCAAAAAGACTAGCCAGAATAACAATACTGGCTACTGTTTATCGAGTACCTACTTAGAGCTATACATTGTATCTGGTCATTTCCTTTAGTTGCATCAATAAAGAAATGGTAATCTACAACCATTTGTCTCCATCCCCAAGGAAAATTGTGCTTATACCAATATAGTCAGTTGGTATTATTTCTCCAATATCAGATCTTATTCTTAGCAAGTTTTAACAAATTATTTGTTTTCTGTGTCTTCTTTGGTCATGATAGTATCTAGTTTAGGGAGACAGTATGGAGAAGATTGCAGAGGTAGAGGCAGAGGTGGAAAAGTACAGAATACTAATGACACAGTGCTCTGACAGGCTACTAGGGCAAAAAAATGTTTAGTCTTCTATTCAGTCCGGAAAGATGAATATGTTTATCTGAGGGAAAGTATTGGTGGGAAAATTTTTTCTTGAGGGATAAGAAATATTAAATAAACAATTACTTTACTAGAGCTTATTTTCCAGTATCAAATATAGTCACTAATTTTGACCAATTGAATTCTAAATTTAGAGTTATAGACTTTTTGTGCCAAGAAACTTATATGTATTTTAGTGAATAAAAATCTTAAGTAAGTTTTCATAATAGAGGTCCTTGGTGGGGTTGGGGAGTTGGGGAGTGAATCTGTTTCAATGAATGTAAACAATAATGAACATATCAATTGTCTAACGAAATATAGGTGATTTTTCTAGTGGGAGAGAGTAGGTTCTCTCATAACAGAAAAACTTGAAAATAGAAAAACATGTATGTTGCTTTTTTGTTTGTTTTTTTTTAGAATCTTATTGTTTAAGGTCATATTTATTTATCCCAATTTCTTTTCTATTTTCCTATTAATCGTTTTCTTGATCATAACTTTTTTTCCCATGGTCACTTTCTCGTCCTTACCAAATTTCAGTGGAATTTAGCTCAGTGCTTATCTGAGTAACAATTAATTCTCATTTGTAAGGGTTATGATTTGCTAGAGTTCTACTAAGATTTCTTTACTTGTGAAATATCATAATTTTCTCTTTCTAATTTTGTGATATAATAACTCCCCTTTTCAACTGAGGAAAAAAACATGTATTTGAAGAGACTTGTACTTTTATTAGACACACATTTCTGATCAATAAGCTAGGACTCATGGATGCTTTGGTAGATATTTTTAACTGGTATGTTGCAGTTATTCTAAATGTCTTTGGAGGATCTGAACTACTGGACACACAGCTTTCTTTACCTGTACTCCTTCCCCTTTCTTTGCCAGCTTTCATGTAATTAGGATGAGCTCTGTTTGGATCTTAATACTAATTATTTTTGCTATTGAGTCGGAGACCACTATAGCATCATAGCAGTTGAATTCCCACTGCTTTTCTTTTTTCACCTCTACCTCTCTCTTCCTTGTTTCATAGGTTCAAGTGTTTGCTTTTTCCAAACCCATGCCACCTCTCTCTTCCCAGTAATTGACATGGGAACCACTTATCATCTTCCTCTTTTTCAAAGCCAAGAGTGTTCCACCCCTCCCCACCCCCAAAGCCATGTTAATTTAAAATTCTAACATCCCTGTGCCTGCAAAGTCTTCTCCTCTCCTCTTCCCTTCTCCACTGACCCCGTTTCATGAGTTGCTCTTATTCAAGCCCCAGTTGTGATATTATTTCTTCTCAGAGATTTTTGTCAGTGTTCCCAGAAAATCAGTTGCTACCTCCCCTCCCAGACCCTATCCAGCGTGATGCTGTAGAATCATGTTGTAGGATTTGTTGTCTTGAATTCTAGTGCCTATCACAGTGATTTCTACATAAGGAAATACTTCTGTGTAAGTATCACATAAAATAATATAAATAACGTAATTTTAAATTGACAAGACAGAATGTTTAAAAATAGTTTTCATTTTTATTTTTTTCTTTTAAAGACAGGATACAGAAATGGGTCTCGAATGAGAAGTCAGTGTGTAGTCATACACACTGAAAGACAGGAGTTAGGAGTCCAGGGGAAGGAAACTCTTGAAGTATTTTTTTTAACGTGCATCTTCTTTGTTAAAAGAAAAATAAACAAGAAAGACGCAAATATAAAAGTAGACTAACCAAATGTAAGCAAGATATATAGATTGAAAGGTAGTGAGCAATATGTATTTAAGAATTTTATGATATCATTGACTTGATGAAATCCCACAGTCGGTAGGTGGCAGGATCAGAATTCTGTCACCAGTCTCACATTCTTTCCATTGGTACTGCACTCCTGAGTAGAGAAATATTTATAATAGAAAGCTGAAAGTAATAGGTGTTCCAAGGGAGGGCAAGCAACTATAGCCTGAAAATTGGGAGCTTCCATTCACGGGTGACAGATGGTATGTGAGCCAGGCTTTGAGCATAGAGGTGGGATTGGACCTTCAATGAAGTAGGTGGAGGAAAAGGAGGATAAAAAAGCATGAAATGGGAAAGTGGCACATACAGAGAGTAGGCGATTTGAATTTGACTGAGTGCAGAGTTCAGAAAGAGCAAAAGTAGGAAATAATGTTAGGTTCCATTTGGAGTAGAGGAACGTAGTGAAAGTTGTCTTGCTATGATCCATCTGGCAACAGTTTAAGGAAAGTTTGGAGAGACTGACTGCTGTAGCAACTTAGAAATACAGGCGACTTTTGCTATAGTCCATGAGAGAATAATGAGGGCTGAGGGATTAAGCTGACATCATTGTAGTCAGAAGTAGATGAGAAATGATGTAAAGAACAAAACTAAATGATCTAGTAATTGATTAGATTTGGAGTAGGGAAGGGAATGAGAATGACTGTAAGTGTAGTGACAAACAGAGGTAAGCAGAGCACATTTAATATTGAAATACACTGAGTTTGATACACATATAAAAAGAGATGAAAGGAGCTTCCCTCGTGGCGCAGTGGTTGGGAGTCCGCCTGCCAATGCAGTCCGGGAAGATCCCACATGCCGCGGAGCGGCTGGGCCCATGATCCGTGGCCGCTGAGCCTGCGCATCCGGAGCCTGTGCTCCGCGACGGGAGAGGCCACAACAGTGAGAGGCCCGCATACCAAAAAAAAAAAAAAAAAGATGAAAAATGTCCAGTATTCCAAAGGGATTCAGGCTAGAAATTATGAGACGGAAAGGCAAGAAATAAAAGTGTTATGGGAGTATTCTGCCTAAAAATGATAGTATGATGTCATAATTTTGAGTGATTTTGACAAGGGAAAGAGAAATAGTATAAGGCTACAAACTTCAGTGAATATCTACCTTTAGGAATTGGTCAAAGGAGGAAAAGCCAGAGAGATGGAAAAACAAACATGGAAGTGGAGAATCTTCTTGTAGAAAGGATGAGGAGAATGAGAACTGTTTTGTCAAAAGCCTTCAAATTTCGGGGTGTTCAGGAGAACAATTGCAGTCCACAGTGAGCAAGCTAGATTGCCTGGTCTCGAAGAACAAGCACGCTAATTCTCACAAGTTACTAGCATGCTTTCAGACTAGAGGGACAATTCCAGTGGAAAAGGAGGACCTGAAGATTCAAAATAATTGCTGGAGCAGAATTCTAAAGCAAGTGTTAAGGGGACTGGGTCGGGTCATGGGTGAGGGTGATTGTGCCCACATTGGAGCGGGGAGCAGAAGAGAAATGCTTTCACTTTGACACGGGCAAGGAGAGTGTGGATGACAAAATCATGAGGTAGAAAGAAAAGTCACTGATAGAAATCATGTCAGAAGTTGTCAGTCTCTGAGAAGTGTGAGGCCAAGATCATCTGTGCAGTGCTGAGTAGACAAGGTATAAGGATGAGGCACCTAGAAAAATGTTCAAATGAGTGAACTATGGAAGGTGATAGGGGATTGATTAGAGCTCAACAGATAATTTGCCAAGGCTTGATAAGATGGCCTCTCTTAGCTATATTTCTAGGAACTGAAAGTTTCTATTTCATTAATTAGATATTTTAGTAAGTGCATTACTTCCTTTGTAACTTGAAATGTGTGTGAATTTTATATCTGAAGATGACAGAGGTGATCTATATTGTTGTTATCCAACTCTTGCTTAAATGAGTTTCTTGTTATATTGATGTTTAAAATTGAACATATTAAATTTAGGCAACTTATCATCTTCTGGAAAATAAGTTGGGTAGAGTTAAGGTTAGCCAATGTTGTACAAGGCCATCAATACAATATTGAGATTTTATCTTATGTTGTATTTTCTGCATACAACTTTGACTAAGATGTGCTGTAATAAGGTACAGCCTTAGTAAATAAAGAGCCATTTATAACACAGCATATAAGCAATCTTTCCACACACAACAGGAATGACTCCAGGCCTCATTTGTTGATGGCATGTTTTTGTGAATTATGCAAGTCCATTATCTCTATTACTGTTATTATTTATGGTAGCACAAGAGCAAGTAAGAGGAAATTACATTCTTTTTTTTTTTTCCCCTAATCGAAAGCTTCTACAATCCTCTCTAACTGGATATCTCTACTTCTCTAAAATTAATGAATACTATGTTGTATTTTTAGCAGTGAAAGCAAAGGAAGAAACGTGGTATGGAAATTCAGAAATGTTCCAAAATTTTTCACAGTTCTTTTTATTTAGTCATTCACGTAGGGGAAGAAAAACAATGTTCGCTTCTGTATATTACTTAGAGTATGACTGCAGTTCATCTTTGTATGTTTTTTATGAGTGTATTCGTACTTCACAATGTTTTTCAGAATCCTCAGTCAGTAGCAGTTCTCCAGGGTCTGGTCCCAGTTCACCAAACAATGGGCCAACTGGTAATGTTACTGAAAATGAGACTTCGGTTTTGCCCCCTACTCCTCAGGCTGAGGTAAGACTCATTATTTTGGTTCTTTTAAAAGTTAATCCTCGATTAGCCCCCTAAAATGCAGTGATATTTCTGAATTGAAGTTTAAAGCCACCCGTTCTTAGTTATTTTTCTGATAGGTTTATAATGTGTGGAATTGAGTAAACTCAATCTGATTTACAAAGTTTGGATGACAGTCATGGTTTGAAAATACTGAAGTATAATCCTCAAAGAAACCACTCTTAGTGATGCTGAGTATATACTGCCCAGCAGTTGTGCGACTCAAAAGTCCTTCTGCATGGTTCTTGGTTATCCTGATGGGAATAGACCCATCAGTAAGTAAAACAACGTCATGCAAGCCTCTCAGAAGAACAGTTGCCCAAAACAAGTTAGGTGTCTTATCCAATGGACCTGAAGAAGTATCATAGTTGAGGAACACAGAGCTCCGCTAAGCAAACATGTATTAAGGACCTACTATGTGCCAGTCATTTTGCCTGGCAGTGGGGCTATAAAGATAAATGATATATGAACTCTGTCCTTGAAAAATGAAAGATTAAAGGAAACTGGTCTGAAATAACACATGATTTTTTTTCCTGACTGTATACAGTCAACTTTAATAACATTTGTTTTTTTGGCACATGATTTATTGAAACCAGTGATACAACAATAGAGGAAAGTAAATTTGTGAGTCAGCAAGAATTTGTCTATGTAGTTTCTGTGGTAGGCTTAGCAAAGGCAACAGCCACTCCTGTGGAATCAGCTGTTTTGGAGTCACCATCAATCGACTGAAATTCTCAATATTTCTTTTCTGTCATTATAATGCCTCCTTACCATGCATTGCTCTATGCAGGGGAAGCTGGTGTAGTAACTTCTCATATATAACTGTGACATGCTTCTTCCATTGTGTTTCATAGAGTCATGATCCTTTGGGGCTGAAAGGGACTGATCAAATCTCTGATTACTGAACCATCTGTGTAGCTCTCCTGATATGTGATTATCAGACTGCCACCAGAGCACTCTTTATTCAAAGGGAACTCGCTTCACTGTCTCCTGGGGCAACCTAGTTGACTTTGGACGGTTAGCTTGACTGATAGAAACGTCTTCTGTACATTATGCCAACATCTGTGTCTGTAACTTCATACATTCACACATACATGTATAATAAATTATTTATAAGTTATAAATTATCTGGCCAAAATATAAGGGAAGGTTGTCCCTGATAAGGAAAGGACTGGAGCCAGTGAAGTCACTTCTTCTCTGAGGACATTTGTATACTTGAGTCTTGAGTTTTGGTTTTCAGAGCCTCACATAACTCTGAAGGGAGAGAGAAGGCAAAGCCCAGTACTGACCAAAGAGGATAATCTAACAGGAAACCATTCAAACCCAAAGACCCATATCTGTGCTACATTGGTGAGTCCCTCATCCCCACCCACGGAGGTGTCTTGATGTAGACCAGAGCAGGGGCAGAGTCTTTCCTGGAGAAGTTGTAACCAGAAGCTAGTTGTAGCCCGAATTTTCATAACCTCAAACTGTTAATTTAATTTAAAGTGCCCCAGATTTTTAGTTCCCTAGGTATCTGGAAAAAGCAAAAGTAAATTCTTTCTAGAGGAATACACATTCATTTTAGATTTCAAAAATTTCCCTCAATTTTCCAAGGAAAATGAGCAGAATAGATAGATGCTCTGTTGCTTATGACCATCTTTCAGCTATGTGAAGAATACAATTCAGGCCACTATATTTTCTCCTGTCCTCCATCTATTTCTTGTTTCTTACCATCCTATTGTCCCTTTCTCGTCTTCATTTTTCTTTGTAAAACATGATACCAGGTGGAATAAGTATTTCACATGTATTTGTGGCCATAGATGTAAGTGGGATTCTTGGACTATTGGTTACAGGCATTGTATTTCTGTTAGTGCAGTTATATCTCAATATCAGTCAGTTTTCTGCAGCCCTTTAATCAATTTCCAGGAAAAGGACAACTTGGTCACAAATATTTCTAAAAAACTTTAGATTTCCATTTCCTCTCAGTTTGAAGAATGCGTTTCAATTGCAGAAACACTAAAAGATCTGGGTTCTAAATAGGTTCTGGATGAATTCTGTATCCTTGGAAAATGAAAACACACTAAACCACATTCGTTCCACAGCATTTATGATTCTTAGAAAAGCATTGTTAGTACAAAAAGGTGCGGAAGACCACTTACAGCTTGATAGTATTTTGTTAAGTTCAGAAACAGGCAGTACAGTATTTTGATCGGAAAAACGTATGCAATAAAAGTATATTTTAAAAAGGCGAGTGAGTGATGAACACAGAATTTAGCATGGTGGTTACCTCTCAAGGGGGAGGAAGGCAGTGGGGGACATGGTTTGTTACTAAAGATGAAGATACATATACCCCTTCATTATAAATACAAACATATGCATATAGCACTTAGTACAACATTAAAAAACAACCAAGCAATACATATTCATGAGACTGGATATAAATGGGAAAAGGTGAGATTTTGTCTTTACTTCAAGCTTTTTAAAACCTGTGAAATTAAATTCAGTGTCCCAGATTGTGTGACCCTGTCATTAAATTTCAAAATATATACAGTGGAGAATGTAAATTAAAGGAATTTGCTTTTACTATTTTAATCTGTTTTATATTCCTAAAACCTTTTGCTGATACCTAAACACAACTATCTGTTTATATGCCCCAGCTTTTCAGCTAATTGTTGACATATTCTTTCCTTCCACCCCCACCAGTTTAAAAAAAAAAAAAAAAAAAAAACAGAAGGAAATGTGATTGAATGGAGTTTGAAAGAGTAGAGGTATTTCTTCAGGTCAGTGACAGGATGTTCACCTCCAAAGCTGGAAAGACTAGTTCAAAAGCAAGCAGTGACTTACCTCATAATGAATTAATTGTGTGTCTGAACTATGATCCAAAAGGCCAGGTGGGCAGACCTTTATGCACTGATGGGTAGCCTCTCCGTGGCCCAGAACAAAAAATTCAGCCCTGATGGCTAACATGTGGTTTTCTGCTGCATTGCATTTACAGAGGTCTGTAGCATAATTCATACTGGAGAGGTGAGGAGACAGCAGAATTCAGACTGAAACTGTCAGCAAATTAATATCCTCGTCTTGAAACACCAAATATTTCCACCTAAATTAGAGAAAAGAGGAAAAGACAATGTTTTTCAGCCAATTTTGGATTAATCATTTTGAATTTAGTATGATGTTTACAGACATCTAAGATTAATAATAGCATGTGATGTCATATCAACAGAAATATTTGGGGGTATGAAAAATTTACATCATTACACTTTCAAAAATCAAATTAGTTGCATACTTTACCATTTATAAAATAGGCTTATTCTACCATCTTTGCTTAAAATAGTGTAACAGTGTACATTTGAATCAACTCTCTATTCTGTGACCTGGAAGTAGAAAAGCATGTCACCTAATTCTTTCAGATCCCATGTAAACGAATGGGATTCTACTCCCTTTTTGCTGCTTAGGAAATAGGAAAGTAAGGCTGTATTTCAGGCTGATCTTGAGGCTTAGGTAAAAAGAAAATTTTCTCTCTCATAATTCATGTGTTCTGCATAATTTAAATAAAGGTTAAGACAGAAGTAAGAGGAGAATTTACTTGTAAGTCCAGGCTAAGGAAACTGCACATTGCATTCAGATGTATGGGTCTTCCATTCAGAAGGCTCCCAAGGAACCTGGCTGCAAAACCAACCACTTTGTCATCATTGGTTAAGTTGCTGAACTTGCCCTGAACCTCAGATTCTTTATCTAGTGAAAGGTGGTAATGACTACCCCAGCAGCTTTGTGGTGGGGAATCAGTGTTTGGAAGGCAGGTGTTAAATTGTGAGGTGCAGAGCAAGTTCATTTTTTGTTGTTGGTATCAATACTGACTTCTCGTAGGGAAAACTCATTAGTATGTTTGTCACCAAGCCAGCAAATCTCACGTGAGACTGAGCCTCCATCTGCTCTGGCCACTTCTGTTCCATCTCTTCAATTTCTTACATATGCTCAGTCCCGAACTCGGATCACTGGAGCTACTTGCTTTACTCATTTGTAAACTTGGTTGGGGAGCTGAAACCTCAGGAGTTTCTATTTCCAACTCCAGTCAGAGATGTCTTTACCTATCTAGTTACTTTATTGTTAATACTGTGGGCCTGTGGGTTCAAATATGTTTCCATGAATATCAACACCATTATTTTAGATTTGGTAGATTTATTTGATAGCTATTTTAACAGTAGCCAAGCCGCTGGTTTATTTCTAGTTGAACATTAGTGGCTGGCTCTGCTATGCTATTTTTTAAATAATTTTTTCCAGCAGATACAAACGATTTTAAAAATGGATTCTAATAATAAGGTTAAGTACTCTAAAATCATCTGAAATGTCACTTGTTTTGCCCCAGTCTCACATGACTCATCTGCCTGTTGTTTCATAATAGTTGTTGTGACATTTGCTGTAAATGTTATGCTCCCTTCTGAGTGGGTGTAGAGCTATGGTTTTAGATAGCTGCAAATAAGACCCTCCTCCCCCCACCCCCCCAAGGGAAAGGAGGTTGCTATGACACAAGAATCATTTACTAGGAATAACGTGAGTCAATAATGTAAACCAAGGCCTTTAACAAAGCATCAGTGACTTTTAAATGCAAAGGAAGCCCTGTCAAATGATAATTTTTTTTTCCTCCAAACCATTTTGGTAATACATTCTTGGGTATCCAGTAAAAATGAAAACGTAGAGACTTTTACTGCCTAAAAAAATTTATTCATCACATGGAGATTTTAATTTTCTATTAGCTGTCTGAAAGGAGAATGGAAAATAAATACTATACTGGAAAATACCATGAAAACCGTAGGCAAACATTAAATGATTAAGAGATTTTTTAAAATTTCTTTGTTTACTTGTTTGTTTTTAATGTGGTTCTTCTTTTTATTTAGATAATCTAGATTTGGGGATTTGGAACCTTTTAAAGCCAAAACAGATTGAGGCTTACAAGCATGTCTTCCTAGATGCCGCTCTAATAGAACAGATATTTCCTGATAGATCTAGTCAGAGGCGCTCCAGTCTTAGGCTGAAGGATCTGATGTCCAGGGAAGGTAGGCAGCTACCCAGAGTCATAATCCAGTGAGTGGTAGAGCTCAAGTGTAAGATGCTTAGACCACTCTCCTTTACACCAGTCCAGACTGCTGCTCACTAAAACCTTGTAGGTACTTATATTCTTTTTCTAATGTTTCTAATGCTCATGCATATTGTAGATAATTTTGAGCATGCAGTAACTTGAAAATTCTACATTCACTTTTTCTGTGAGCCTCTTAAAAAGTGGATGATTACATAGTTAGTATTCTGTCAAGGGTCATCTGTTGACTTCTTTGTCTTCTTGAGAGCAAGAAAGGAATTCTCCCTCCCTTCTTCCCTCCCCCCTCCCTTCCTTCCTTCCTTCCTTCCTCAGTATCTTCTATCCCCACAGGCATTTTCCTTGCCCCTGTATGCAGTCATTTTCTCCTGTACTTTTGTTTGCATGGGTTCTTACATCATACATGTATTTTTTGCTTTGTGCTCATGAATTTTAGGGGATATAAATGGCATGGTGTTATCAATCTCATTCCATTTCTTATTCTTATCACTAAGCATGTGATAAAAATAAGACTAGCTCTTTTTAGAGCTAGTCACATCATAATGGATGCATATGCCTAATTGCTTTTAATCACTGTAATAATCCATGGTGGGTACTCCTCCATTTTACCTACCTGTTCTCCAGTTGGATTCCCCAGTGACCTCCAGTTCTCACCCACCACCAAAAAATGCTTTACTGTATATCCACGCTCATCACTCTGTAGCTAAATGAGAATTTCTTGAGCAGCAGGAGAACGACTCTGGGTCGTGGTGTGCAGTGCTGAAATATTCACCAGAATTGCTATACCAGTCCACAGTCTCACCAGTAATGTGTGATGGTTTTTACTTTCCTAAATCCCTGTGACATTTAATATTGTCCATTTTTCTAATTTTTGCCAGTGTCCATTTCGTAAGAGAATTTGAATCTTTTGACTGAAACTAAGGTCTTCTTGAGGTCAATGGCTAAAGAAATAGCTCTGTTGAGAGACGTAATTTTCAGTTTATGTGTATTTTATTCACCTGAATTGCAAATATTATCCATAATTCAGGGTTCCAATTACCATGATGGTGAGAAACGTAATTAAAATTTGAAGGTCATTATTAAAATATGGATATAGGCCTCCCCTGCCCCAACACCTGGCTCAGTCATATCCCTCTTCCCAACATCATGCTCTTTTCTGGTGAAATGCTAGTTACCCATCAGAGCCTGGTTTAAAATCGACAACCTGCTCTGTGCCACTGAAGTGTTTTGACCATCCTCTAATTATAGTAATTATGGCGGGTCGTTAGAGCTAGTTCTCTACTTTTCTGTGCACCCGAGTAGCATGTGAACTTACGTGGCCTAGGCCATCTTTGTACCCCTCCCACCCAACTAATCTAACTTAATTGTAATTAATTAATTGTTTTGTGAATGTTAAGCAGTAGCCGTTGTACATTTAATATTTCCATTTTATCTGACTACAGCAATCATTTCTGGTTCTGAAAAATTTTGAGATTAAAACCATCTTCCGCATGTTCTAAGGTATGAAACGTTGGCATCTTAGCACAGCACTGATTTAAGGGCTGCATTGGTTTCAAAACTGCTTCCTGGAAAAATCCTGGCCTTGCCTGGAAATACTTGTAAGCTCACCACAGTGCTAAGGTGGGGTAGCCTTCCAGCCTTGCAAGAATGCTGGTCAGGATTCTTCACTGTCCCAGTGAAATGGTCCCTCTCACCATCTGTTCATCTGACTTTCAAGTGTGTCTGCACCCTTTTAGCAGTGTACCCTACAGCTCCGGTTTCTTATTAAGAAACATTAACCTGGAACAGGTAGCCTGCTTCTATCAAGAAGTCAAACTGAGGAGACTTCCCTACTGGCCCAGTGGTTTAGACTCCACGTTCCCAATGCAGGGGGCCTGGGTTCGATCCCTGGTCCAGGAACTAGACCCCACATGCATGCCACAACTAAGAGCTCTCATGCCACAACTAAGGAGCCAGCGGGCCGCAACTAAGCAGCCTACCTGCCACAACTAAGACCCAATGCAAACCAAATAAATAAATTTAAAAAAAAAGAAGTCAAATTGAGGAAAGTTATATTTAAAGGAGATAATTTGAGAAAAACATTATTTCAGCTAAGTCATTTGTGATTTTATCCATTGGAAGTTTATGTAAATGCTGTGCTTATTTCCTTATCTGTAAATTGAAGGAAATAAATTATGTCCAAGTCTCTGAAGTTCCGTGATATGATATATACCAGTTAGCCTCTGTGGGAAGAACCAACTATACCCCCCAACTTGGGGGACTTTGGACTTTCCTTACTTCCTCAGGAATCGTCTCCATGACTTGAAGATCCTCACGTCTATAAAGCCACCAGGGCTTTTGCTTTCTTCTCACGCCAGACTAGCTGGCTCCCAGTTGTACACTTTTATTCTTTTCCATAAGCCCCAGGGCCTGATTGTGCTTCCTGTTTTTCTCTCAAGCTTCCTCCTTCTCGGTACTTTTTTATGGTTCCCTTATCCTTCAGTAATGGCTGCAGAGTGGTGTGTAGCTCCTGCAGCAGTACCTGACAACAAATCATCCAGCCTTGATCGGTTTAAAAGTTTTATTGCTGATCCCACTGGGAACCAGAATTAGGGAAATCACTCAGTTCCTTCATCCATAACAAGAGCGTAAGATTGCTGGAGAGTGCCTGGAATTAGGAACTAGGAATTAGGTTAATGTCCCAAAACTCCCTGGCATAGGGCTTGGCACATGGTCGGTGCTATCCTAGGAAATGGCACCACTCAATTTTGCTATGAAGCTACAGGGGCCTAAAGTCCCATAGTAAGAACATTCCCAAGTCCCTTCACTTTTGTCAAAGCCCCTGTGAGCAGCCAGTGTGCTACTGCAATTATTACACCTGAGAAGAAACCTTTTTTTCACTTTAGTATAGGTTTGCTTCCTACGATGAGGTAGGAGGATATCGCCCAAGTTCTGGCTGGAAAACAAAGATAACCTCTTTTGTGAGGTTGGGGTAACTTTTGGTGTCATTCCCACAGTGCCTGTCAAGTCTCCGTGCTGTGGGAAGCAGATACAACCTTGAATGAATATTGTACATGATTTAAAGTAATTATTTTTCCACATTTATTTCTCTTCCATAAGTACAGATAAGCAAATGAGATATCCTTTTATTATAAATGGCTGCTTGCTGCCAAAAAGCTAGTTAAAATGTTTTTACTTCCTCATACGTTCTTTTGTTCTTGTTCAGGTATATATATTCTATATTTAAAAATCATGGTAAAAACATATCAGTATAAGCAAAATAACTCGTCTTTTTAAATTAGAGCAAATATGCAGCCGTTGTTGATACTCCTTAAAATTGCAGTCTCACACATTCTGATGATAAAATCTTTTCCAACAATCTTCATGGGTTTTTGACAACTTTAATTTTGTAAAGGGTTTCATATAAACTCAATGTAATGTTAAAAATTTCAATATACTTCTTGCTTTCCATGTACAAATATCTGGCTTGTTCTTCTGAGAAAAAACAAACTCCGAGTTGGTGTGGAATTCCAAGTTGCAATGAGAAAAGTCCACCTTTAGCTTTCTGCTCTTATGTTAAGGCTACGACTCATCTCCAAACAAACGTATGATTGAGGTGATGTTTTGGAATAACATCCTGTGTTTTGGTGGCGCATCACTCTTCAGTGACATTCTGAGGTTGCATTGTATTAGCACATGATATTTTCCCCAGTTAATTGATATCCCAGGTTTGTCCAGGGGAAAATCTACCGCTCCCCCAAACATACTTGACAAGTTATTATATTTACTTTAGTCAAAGCCCGTGTGTGCAATATCCCTCTTGGAGGTGGTCTATTATTGGAGTCCCATATGCTTTTTGTTTGGGAAGAAAGCAGTCACTGTGTCATACTGTTACATGGAGTATTCTTTTTCAGGGATGTTGTTCCCTTGGGGACCATATCAGGCCAGAGTTCCTTAGTCTAATAAGACCTTTGTAACTCTTATTGTATAAGAGTTCTGGGAGGGAAGCAAGAGTTAAACAGAAAATGTAATTCAAGCAACTATATTAGGCCACATGTGGGAAAACATGACTCTTAGTATTGGATTAAAAAAAAGGTTTATTTGTTGTAAAAAGGACTCTGATGCCAAAATTTTCAGGGTATTTCAGTGTAAGTGAAGACTGTTGTGGCCCGGGGAACTCACAACATTTGAACATTTACTTTAGTTTCTGGATATGTATGATTGAAAAAACACCATACAGAGCTGTCTTTTCACAAATTTTATATTTAAAAAAAGATATAATTAATTGTTATAGAAGTCCTGTATGGTGATATTTAAGATTTTCTTGTGTGAGTTTTCCCATCAGCAAAATGGTGTTTAATCCATATGAGGATAATGATTATAGCAACATTACATACATATTCTTCATGCCTTAATACAAAAATCTGTGCTCATAAGAATTACTCAATTTAATTGTTGTACTTTACCAATCGATGACAAACACACTGATTATATTCCATAAAGGTAGAATTTTTAAAATGAATTTTTTCCAAATGAACATAGAAGCTTGCTCTTCAGATTTTATAGTTACAACTGATGAAGAAATTTTTAATTTATTACATATAACATTTTTGGATACAGAAGTCATAAAGTACTTATAAGTTCTTAATTAAAATACTTAAATGTTTTGACAGATTATGATAATATAAAATCTGTTTTCTGAAATGAGAACATTACAGTAAAATATGTGATATTGTGTAATATTTTGAGAGTTCCCTTTCACTTTTTTTTTTTTTTTTTTTTTTTGTTTCCTTTTCCTTTTTTTTTTTTTTTTTTTTTTTTACCAGAAAATGGTTTCACAGCAACGCATTCTAATTCACGAAGATTCCATGAACCTGCTCAGTCTTTATACCTCTCCCTCTTTGCCCAACATTACCCTGGGACTTCCAGCAGTGCCAGCCCAGCTGAACGTAAGTCATTATTACCCTGCAACAGCCTAAACCAGCCCAAGGGATATTTTCATAGGGGAATTCTCATTCTTTTCTTGTATATTTAGACTTCAGGGAAACTTGGTAGTCTACTTCTCCTTCACTGTTTGCTGAGTTGTTCAAAGATGTTCAGTTTAATTTCACATTAAAGAATCATGCTGGTTCATATAATATATAAAAATATTAACTAACATTTGTATAATGCTTTATAGCTTTTAAAAAAGAAAGCACTCTCCAGGTATATTATTTTGGTAGCTCCACCCAACCATCCTATGAAACAGAGATTACAGGACACATTTTTACAGAAGCAGCAGCTGAGACTTGGAATGCATAAAAGCCCAAGATCACAGACCCAGCAAGTAGCAGACCTGAACCTCAACTCAGGCCATTGCTGAGAGGTGCAGCGTCTGAAGCGCAGCAGCATATGTTTAAAGAATTTATTTCGTGAATGACTTTATTTTGAGAATTTAGGTTACTGACTCTGTGGTACTGAAGAATACATATCTGGAAAACCTCTCTAAGAACAATATTAAACTCTTGCCTGGAGATGCAAAGTGAATCAATTACTTTAAAAGTCCTGACAACTGAAATAGGATCTTTTGGAGGTAACTGTCCTACTAACAGAAGACAGCAATAATTATTTTATGCATATTCCCTAAAATAATATAAATTTCAGTCATTGTAAAAGATTTGTAAACTTTACCTAATTTATCTGTGAAAAGTTAGTAAATTAAATTGTACTTATGCAGAGGTCATATGATACATTTGGTTTAAAGAGAAATTTGTTCCGACCCTTGGCACCAATTTTGCCAATTTTTAGATGCAGGTCTTCCACTGAGTCCATCTTGTCAAATTCACATCTTTTACAGTATACTAACATTAAGAAATCATAAAGAGTTGACCATTTTGTGACTGATTTATTTTCAAAATGTGAACCCTGTCTATGGTATGCTACTAGTTTATGCACAAGCACACCTACAGGTGACATTTTTAAAATGATAAATTTTATGGCTGTGTTCAATACATATTATAAAACCAATCTAAGAGGTACCTTATTGTATTTGGTATTTTTAATACAGTAGAATGTTATCTTATGTGATATAGTAATCTTATACCAGTGAGGAGAAAGCAAAATTTGGATGTTGTTTTGTATTTGGAGATTTAAAGAAGACAGGCTTAAAAACAATGAATTCAGCTATGCCCCTGAAATTCCACATGAAGCATTTGTAAACAGTTGGCTCTAGTGAGAAGAAGAAAGAAATTAGGGATGAAATAAAACATACATATTTATGGATGGTATTTTCAAATCTTCACTTATTAAAAATTTTCTTCTGTTCCTATTTTTTCCTATCTCTTCTGATGATAAGCAAATACTAACACAAAAACTTATGACACGGGAATAGGCTTTTTTTTTTTTTTCCTACTCTTTTTTTGCATGTTCTAAGTCACTCCTACCAGCTAACATAAACATACACCACTTTTAATGTGGTCGGGGAGAATTTTTTCCCAAAGGACCAAGTACTAAAAACCAGACCATTTAATGTTTCAATGGTAATACAATTTGGTACCTTTGGATGAATAAACCAGTGTGGTTTGGATTGAAGTTTCATTTTTCTTTGCTTCCATTTTGGTGTGGATGAGGCCATCACAATTAATTTTTCAAGCTTAGCATTGCGTTGGCAAAGGGATCTCTAATATTCTAGTTCCCCACTGAGCAGTGGTAAATTTTAAGGAAAAGAGGCCAGGAGAAGGAATCACTTCTAGATTAAACATTGCATTGACTCACTGTGTGACTAAGACAAACCATTTACCTCTTTGTCCTTCAATTTCTCCGTCACTGAAAATTGCTTTGCTTCCCTGGTACACAGCAATTTTGAAAGATGAAACATGAGTTTTGAAAAGAAACATGCCACATAATTTTGAGGTATTAGACCTCTGCTTTTGTAATACCAAAATGACCACCATTCATTAAGTTCTTTGAATAGGAGAATTCATTATTACTGTTGATGATATAAATATTATTGCCTTATTACTGTGTTATCATATATTTCAAGTTCTTAATAGCATTTTTATTTGATATCTAATTTCACTTGTAGTTTATTTTATTAAACAAAAGTATCTGGAGTGTCATTTTCAATATTTAAAGATTTGGGAATCTGTTATGAATTAATATAAGATACATGTTTAAATCAAATTCCTGCATATTTTATATAACCTTTCATTGACTTATCTCAAGAATTTTATTTTAAAAATTAAATACTGGAAACCCACAGCTCTGTGAACGTATTAGAGGACGTATAGAGAAAGGGTGAATTGTTCCTTCTGCTTGAAGCTCCAAAACTACGGATCTTTTTATCTCTAGCTTCTTAATCCCTATTGTATAGCCATTAGCTCAGCGATTTGAATAAATTTTACTTTTCTAATATACCTTTTACTACAGCAGTATGTTAAACTATTTTAGAAATAACTGTCCCAGTTATTAAGCCTGAACTTAGCATGATTTTTAATGTTAAAAAACGTTTTATTTTGGGTTCCGTATAATGATACCCAATACTAAATTGTCTCCAGTGCTTCAGCTCTATTTTTGTTTCTCCTTTGTTAGTTCACTTAGTTCACAAGACATGGTGTTATCCATTTTCCCTACTCAGCCATTGGATAAGGTAGGGCTTTTTGGTCGGGGGTTAGGGGGGGTGGGAATTATGGAATAAGAAACTAATCTAATGATTTATAGACCTAGTGACCCATATGGATGAAAGCGGATTAACATCTGTATTATTTCTTGACACAGGCTTCAAATTCGCTCAAAGAGAAACAGAAGTGTGAGACCCAGACACTCAGGCAAGGCGTTCCTCTGCCTGGGCAGTATGGGGGCAGCATCCCGGCATCTTCAAGCCATCCCCATGTCACTTTGGAGGGAAAGCCCAACAGCAGCCACCAAGCTCTCCTGCAGCATTTATTATTGAAAGAACAGATGCGACAGCAAAAGCTTCTTGTGGCTGGTAATTCATAACGGCACCATTTGCAGGTTATTTTAGGGCTTTCATTTTATCAACAATTCAGTGTAATGTCTCTTTAACTCAAGACCTAGTAAAGATTCACAGTGTCATACATAGGTCTCCCTGATACCTACTACTGTGGAAAGACTGTTGTCTTTATTTATTCCTCTAGATCCATGAAAAAAATACTCACCTTATTTAACAGTCATACATACCAGAGTGGACTACTGGTGAGTCATTGATCAGATGCATATCTGCCCAATGCTTTGGCACTTTTGCCTTCACCCCACCCAACCTAGCCTCCTGATATTTGCCCGGTAGTATACTACTTTTCGTAAAACTTATCCCATAGCTATTTTCTATAGCTTTCTTAAATTGTGTATGTGTGTGTGTGTGTGTGTGTGTGTGTGTGTACATATATACATGTACATATATTTTTTTTTCAGGTGGAGTTCCCTTACATCCTCAGTCTCCCTTGGCAACGAAAGAGAGAATTTCACCTGGCATTAGAGGTACCCACAAATTACCCCGTCACAGACCCTTGAATCGAACCCAGTCTGCACCTTTGCCTCAGAGCACATTGGCTCAGCTGGTCATTCAGCAGCAGCACCAGCAATTCTTGGAGAAGCAGAAGCAATACCAGCAGCAGATCCACATGAACAAGGTAAGTCCCCAAGCCACGTCAACATGCCATAACCACTGGTGTGGAAATTGGGGTTTTCTTCACTGATGTGTGCATACAAGAGAGAATGTTGGTATCCATCACAGCCAAATGGAGACTGCCCTCCTGGCCCCGCTGTCAGGGCTCAAGGGCACCATCACATTATCACTGTTTTCTCCATCACTACATGCGTAGGACATTTGTAGCAAAATTGAGGTCCTAGATTAGAAAGTCTTTTATGATTGGGTACCTGTCTTAATACAGAAGCACATACAGGCACATGTGTGCAGAGCCCCTTTTTTTGTTATTGTAGTAAAGGTGTGAGGCAGAGTTGAAGTTTGCACAGGTGCTAGCAGCTATGCCAAGGTCGGCCAGTTAGGTATTTCTCAGCAACTTCTATGTATGCGTGTTATATTTATTTTTAATATGCCCTACTTTATTCCAGTCAGTGTTGAAGCAGTGTCTCAGAAACTTGTGGTAGTTTCTTTCTGGCAGCCTTATTGTAGCTGAAATGGACAGCAAATGCCTGAATCACAGCACATCCTCAGGAGCCCTCCTGCTGAGGCAACCACAGTCATTCTAAAATAATGGTATCAGGCGGGCCAGCAAAGCATTTTCAATGAACTTGTAAGCAGAACCGTTCTGTACAGTTTTGCCACTACTCTCTGCTATGGTAGCCTTACAAAGTAGAATCCTCTCATTTCTGGAGAATGAAAGGTCCTGAATATCAAAATTCTTTCTATTATCTTTTGTTACTGTATCACCTCCAGATATCTTGTAGAGACATTATATTGAGAAACAATCTCCTGTTTACTGATAAATGGATAGCTAAAAATTGAAATAGTATTTAAATGCTTTATTGTATTGTGATATAAACAAAACAAAATCTCATGGGAGAAGGTCTAATCATCTTTCTAATAGCAAGAGAAGGGGGTGTTTATCATGTGCTCACCTTATTGCAGGTGGGATTAGAGACTTTCTCTCCTCTTTGGCCTGCATCTTAGACTCGCAGGCTCAGCGGCCATGGCTCATGGGCCCAGCCGCTCCGCGGCATGTGGGACCTTCCCAGACCGGGGCACGACCCCGTGTCCCCTGCATTGGCAGGTGGACTCTCAACCACTGCGCCACCAGGGAAGCCCTGGCCTCCATCTTAACAAGGCAGAGCCATGAAGGGAGCATGGGCTGAAGACCACAATACTGAACACAAATTCTCCCAGTCCAACCCTTTGCAGCATTCAAAGATGACGTGTATGTGTGTATATTGGGGTTCAGGGTAGTTGGCTGTGCCATCTGCCTCTCCTGTTATCGTTTGCCGTACTGCAGATTGTATTTCACTATATTTCAGACTCTTTCTATATCATCACATTAATGCCTGTTTTATTGCTACAGCATTTCTCTAAATTTATCAAATTGTTTTGGGTACAAACAGAGGAGAACCAACTTCCTTCTTGTATAATGGCATATAATACTCCTTGTCTTGAATGTTATTCTGCATGTTTACTATCTTATGGTAGAGTTACGTTGGTTTGTTTGCTTTGTGGTATCTTAGCACTACTTAAAACTACCAGGTATTCTTGAAACATTGTCCAGTGTGAGAGGAAGGACTGGGAATTCTACTTTTCACCTCACAATATTTTGATCTGGAATTAAGTTCATTTAGCAAAGTAGTATTGGATTGTAAGTATACTTTCTGCTACTCGGTTCTATTTCCTAGAAATGTGGATGTGCATGTTCTATTATAGGTAAATTAGGTAAATTGATCCCTTTGAAATCATCATCTACAGATGATTTCTATGAATACCTTTAAGAATACTTTGGAATACATTTTTTATGACCTAGAGTTGCCACTGCTTCACACTCAGATGGTTTGTTAATATCAGAATCTTTGTATATTAGTATCACAGTGGAGATTTTGACAGGCAGATGCTAACCTCAGTCACATGGAAGAAACTAAGATGGAAAGCAGGCATTTGCATTTTAGCAATGAGAAAAGCAAATCTTATCAGAGACCTCCTCCCATGTGGAGCTGATTCCTTGGAATCTGTTAAGAATTCTTCCCCAAATTAGAAACAAACCTATACTTTTAGGTACATGTTTGTACAGTGGTTTGATTATTAAATCTTGTCTTAATTAGGCAAAATGAAGCCCAGAAAACTTCAAAGTACAAAGCTGATCTTTATATATTAACCTCTCTCAACTTGGGTGTTTAGATTACTCAAGCAGGTCTCTGCTTGGCTTTTCTCCATGTATATATTCCATATGTTTCATCAGGATGGCATATGCACACTGGGTATTCTCCAGATTTGAAAATATTTCACTTGCCCTCAATTGTCTAAGGAAATAGAGAAGAATCTTGTTAAATAAATCTTGAACTCCATCCTGTTCCGTGGTATTCACAATAGAACCATTAATAAATGAATTGCTACTGTTCACCCTCCCCCATGAGGTAATGAAAACATTTAGTTCACATTAGGAGAAGGCCACACTTAGATGCCAAAAGATAACAGGTTTCTATATAATAATATATTTATGTGTACTCTAGCCACTTAGAATAACCATTAATGAGAAATAACCACAGAAACCTTAATATATGTCATTTTTTCCCTATTATCATGGAAGAACCTTTACTGAATCCATTCAAATTGGAGCCAAATAGTTGGCATCATAAAAGCATGGTTCTTACTCTTGAGATACTTATTCCAACAGGAAATATAGGCACACATGAAGACATAGGTGTGCAGATGACATATTTTAAAATGTCTTTTCCTTTTATTCCCTCAGCTTTTCTTTATGGTTCTTTTTTGAGGAATTTAGGAATTTTGAGGAAAAATGGAGTGAGAAGAAAGAAAAAATAAGTAGGTTTATCTCTAAACTTACATCATATTAAATAATGATTGGGCTTCCTGGTATGAAATTTTTAATGATTTATTTGATTTGCTAAAAATCTTTAGAAGAATTAGAAGCAAATCTATACTTTTCAGAATAGTTTATACAATGATTGACTTATTAAATTTTAAAAACTTTCTCATATCTTGCTATTATTTGACTGCATTTATGAAAGCAGTCATTCATGCTTGTTATAACTATACAATGTCAATGTTATTAATCATACTAAACAATTTACCTACCTGTTACCTGATACTTTAATGACATTTACATGGGAAATTTGTGTGTGGTAAGATGTTAAGCCTCATGTAATTATGTTGTAAGTGCTTAATAGCTTAGCAGAAATACCCCAGGAATGGGTTTATGTAGCATTCGTATTGCTGTATCTACCAGTAAATAATGGGGCAAGCTTGAAAAATGAATGAAAAATGTCAGGATGATTTATCTCTGCTTATCAGTTTGTATATTCTGTTTTCACTGAAAGAGCTTTGAGAAGCTTAACCATAGAAAATCACGGCTTACAACATTTGTTCTTTGATTTTTTTTTGAGACATTTAAAAAATTCAGAAATGCATTTAAACAATTTATATTACTAATATATACTACCTTCATGTTTCAAAAAAAACAAGAGTTTTTTAATATGAGGATTTCAAAAGAAAACTGTTGCTTTTGCCAGTATCTTTTGATTTTTTTATTAGAAAAATATGGTTTCTAAAACAGACTTTTCCTTGTAAATACAAAATAGCAAACAAAAATATAGGAGGGTATTGATAATTTTCTTCTGAACCGTTTTCAAGTTTAAATATTGCCACAGATTTTCTGGTAAAAACTATGATGAAAACAAAATACCACAGTTACTTGGACGTTTTTATGATTTTTGAAGGAGTATTCTGACCACTGCCTAATTACCAGAAGGGTAGATCTCTAGTCACATCACTCTCTGAATGATATACAGAAATTTTCCGAAGTATATTCAGGCATTTTTGTTGTGAGATAATTTGACAGATCTCTGTCCCCTTCCAAATGACAACATTATTCTTTGAATTATTTCTCAGTTATAGTATTAATAGAATAGCATTGGTTGATGCCTAATTGTTTCTGTTTTAACTAGAATTTTAATAACTTTTCTAATACCTATATTTTTCATATTCATTCCATCAAATCCATATGAGAAGAAATTTTAAAATTATTTCTTCATTCAATACTTATTTATAAATAATCTATGCAAGTATCCGTTTAGCAAATCATTACTGAATTCTTACTTGGTACCAGACACTATTTTAGGCACTAAGAAAACATTCATTATCCTCATGGAGCTTACCATATGGGGAGCAGGGGACTGAAATATTCCAGTAAACAGTAATACAATACAATGTTTTAAGTATTAGGATAGGGGACATGAGGAAGGAAATTGTTTTCTTTGAGGAAACAAGATTTGAGACTTGTTTAGTTCTTCTCAGGATTATCTTGTCCTTTTTACATCTTTTCCTCTCCCTTCTCTCTCTCTCTCTCTCTTTCGTTCTCTGTCTCTCTCTCTTTCCTTCCCTGCCTCTTTCTCTGTTTCTCTTCCCCCCTCTCTCCCTCTCTTTCTTTCTTTGTAAAATGCTCTGTGATAAATACCTTATGCATTCCTATGACTGGATATCAGCCAACACTTAAAAAAAAACCCACATAAATCATGAGATGATATCTTATATGTGTCAAGGTTCACTCTAGATATAAGTATTTATTATATATTTATTGCTATGATACTTAGGCATTTTGACATGAGTGCTATTTTATCATAATAAAAATATATCTAAGACAAGAGCAGTAAAGGGGAGGGTGGGCAGATGTCCTACATTGCCCTTATTAAAACAGGTAGATTTTATGTCTGACAAGCAAGGCATGAATATAGTTAAGCTCAAATGCTGGCACGGAGCTAATGGGGAGCTTTCATCAGTTTTGGAAGAGAATTTGACCCTTTATTTGAGCAGTATCTATTGTATTCCTTTTCTTGACACAATTTTCTAACATAAATGTTACATTTTCTCCATAACCCCTCATGATTCATACCCACTCCTTGTCCCCAACAATCCATCCAGAGCGACTCAGGGGAGAATATTCTTTCATGCCTG